AACAACAGACCGCGAGCGTCGTTCGTTTATTTTTTTTCTCTTACGCTCACCCGCTGTTCGGTTAGACACAGACGGACGGATGATAAAGTTGCGTTGCTTACCCATTAAAGTACACAAACTTATATATATATACATATATACAGCCTATCCGAAGAAACAACTACTGATAGAAATGAATGAGTCATACGTCTACATATGATCTATAAGTGTCTAGAGAGAAAATAGAATGTAGGAGTTCGATAATGCGTATATCATCAAGTTATTCACTATACGCCTCACTTGCCATAGAGACGTCGGCCATGCATTTCATACGATATCTAATTATGAAGCAGAATTAAAAATATGCAGAAGAAAAAAAGAACAATAAAAGACATTTTTTTTTATTAAATGGGCTCGTAAACATGTTGATTTCGGTAACAATCATTGGCTTTTATTTTGATACAAGATTGTCTTCTAATAGATAAAAATGCTAAAAAGTTTTTCAGGACAATAAAATGAGATTTATTTTCTATTTTTTAAGAATAGATCAATTAAATCGTTATTAACTTGAAAGAAAAAAAGAAAGAACGTTATATATGAAACATTTTCTTAGTATATCTCCATATATTTTTCATTTAACTTTCAAGATATAACAAATTTATATATTAACATGTAATCATTTGTAAAAGAAGGTTACTTATAAAAAATCCTTTTTTTCATGTATTAAATAAGTTGATTTTTTTAGTTTTGGTAAAAAAATCTTAATAATTATCCGAACGTTCAGAAACGTTTTAGTTTTCTCTGCCATGTTTCACATGTCTTTTCTGATTGAAATAAATTTAAGATGTTCTATCATAGACGAATGTATCCTAAGCTTCAAGAATATAAAAAATAAATGATTTAATTTTCATTGATAAATAAATTGGATATATTTCTATGAAAATTTTTAATAGAATGATTATTTCTGTTTTTGAGTAGAGTTTTGTGGAATGAAATTGCTTTCTTTTTTTTACAACTATGTATACTTCATTTTATGATACTTGTTAACGAGAGTGTTTCTATGATGTTTTTACTTAATATATGTAAAATAAATTGGTTACTTTATAAGATTAGATTTATTCAGGTAGAATTAAAACTTTCACTGCTAAAGTAATAAACTTTTGAAAATAAATCGATTGCTTTTGTCATGCACGACTTGATATATTCAAATTTTAAGGCAGTAACAATGTGTATTTATTTTGTTTAGCCAAATACCTATCGGGCATAAAGTGAGAGAATGTATTTAAAAATATTCGTTCTTATTTTGAAAAGAGCATTATATTAACAAAAAAAAAAATCTGAAGGAATAGTTGATAAACAAAGTTCGTCATTGAAAATCGTCAAACCAATTGTAACACTCAAAAACTTCTATTGTATGTCACTTCTCACGAACTCTGCAAGGAAGTTAACAGTCATCTGAATGTTTTTCTTGTTATTCACAAAAATAAATATACAACTTTTTGTTACTTGTTAAATTCTAAATTTTGTTATGAAATGAGAAAATTATAAAATATTTGTTTAAAAAAATAATTCGATTATTCTCCATACTATTTATGTCAATCAAAAAACATCCTAATAGTTTACACACAAAAAAAAAAAGAAAACCACATTTATGCATCATATTCAAATGGAGAAGTTTAATCATCATCATCATCACTTTGTAATCTTTGAATTTGTCTATTATTATCATCATCATCATCATCATCCTCATCATAATCTTCTTGTTGATCAGTTTGAATTTGTTCTTCATGATTTTCATCATTAGAATTATCTGATGTTAATGAATCATTAGAATTTGATGATGATGATGATGATGATGATGTTTGATAATAATATAATTCACTAGTACGTTTAAATTTGTCTGTTATGATTTCTTCATCGTCATTTTCTAAATCAAAATATGCTTTCGGAGTATTTATATTTGGTAATTGTCGTATAGGTAATGATGGTAATTGACGAGAAATATTATTTGGTTGTGGTCGTGATCGAACTGTATTTATTATTGGTAATGAATTTTGCATAGGTAATGTTCGAGTTGATGGAAGTATGATTCTAAAAATAAAAAAAAAGAAAAGTAAAGTATGACTTGATTAAATAAATAATAAATGAAAATAAACAAACGAACTTTGGAGCAATTGACCAATTATTATTTTCATCATCAATTGAATTATGTTGATTTATTATATCATTTTCATTATCTAATAATGGTTGACGTTGTTCAGAAGGTTCATCTAAATATTATTTAAAAATAAATAAAATTTTTAATTTCGTTTTTTTGTTTTACATACATATTGAATTAAATAATAATGCTGTTCGTGGTCGAGTATTAATAAATTTTTTTGATGTTGTTTCATTAATTAATTGATGATTATTATTATTTATTGGTATTCGTGGTTGTTGACGTTGTTTTGATTGTATAATTGTTGATATACGTCCATTTAATGGTAAACGACGATCATTAGGTACAGTTATTGTTTGTGTTTTTTGTTGATCATTTGTTGTTGTTACAACTAATAATGGTCGTGTTCCTATTGTTGATGATTTTGGTGTTGTCATTATTGCAGAACGAGGTGGAGATTTTGATGTTAATGGTGTTATGTTTGGTAAAGTTTGAAGAATATTTGTATTTGGAACATTTAATGTTTTACCATATTGAGTTTGATTAGAAAAACCATTTATAGGTTGTTGACTAGTTCGTCGTGTTTCATCAAAATTAATTAAATTTAACATTTTATTAGTTGATGAATTTATATGTCCATTTTCAAGATTAATACTACTTCCTTCACCACTTATGGATAGTTTATTTTTACTCGAAAATATATTGTCAAGATTTTGCTAAAACAAAAATCAGATAATTATAGTTAGAAATTTTCTATACAATGAATCTGTTCACATCCGGGTCTGAAATTCTTTGTAATAGACGAGTTCTATTCTGATAGATGATCAATAAGGAATGTGAGAAATATATTCTTTTATTTTTTAGCTTTTTTAAAGAGCCTATAGAGGAATTAGAGATGATAAAGAAAAATAATCCAGCATTTATTTAATTTTAATATTCGGTTTTTTCTAAGTCGAATAAATTTATTACCGATGATCGACTTGATCCAGATCGTTGCAAACTTTCAGCAAGACGACATGATGTCCGTCGTCCATCAGGATCAAGTTCATGAATAGCTTCTTTTGAATGTGCACGTTCTTTAAGTACTGATACAAGTCGATTTAAATGGAAACTCTATTAATATATAAAATAAATGTAAAATTATTAGAAGACAATAGTAGTATTATTAACATGTTAATATAAAGCCAATCAATGTTTTCTAGATAAAATTCAATAGAAACAAATTAGAGGTCGAAATTTTGAATTTCTGTAAATCGAATTGATCTCATGTTTTTCCGATATATTCTTGTGAACAGTGAAAAACCACAGATCTTTATCAAAAGTTATACAAAAAAAAAACCATTGACTTGTCCAATATATTAATATCAATAATTATTAGCATATATATATTTATAACAGAAATTAGTATTCAAAATTTAAACTTACAGCATCATTTGGATGTCCTTGTTTATATGAACGATAATTATCAATATATAAATTAATAGCATAAACTTTTCCAACAGTTAATTTTGGATGACCAGGTGTACCATGTAATTCTAAATATAAATGAAAAAAAACTCTTTTAAATGATAAGAAGAATTTTTAATCTATATTTACCATGTTTAGATGGTACAACAAGATCAAGTAATGGTTTTGTTCCACCTTCATATAATTTAATAGATTTTTTTGCAAGTGTAGGCCATAATTTACATATAACCTGACGTAATTCATTATCGGCTTCATCCATTTCGTCAGCAACTAAATAAATTTTTTTTTTTTTGATATATATAATCAAAAAGTTGTGAAAAAACAATAATATAGAAATTACCATTACGCATTTTAATACCAAGAGATTCACGAATAAGTGCAAAAAGTGTTGTAGTAAAATGTACTTGACGTTTATCATCAATTGGCATATTCATACGAATTAAACGCTAAATATATATGAAAAACATAATAAACATCTGATTTAAATCAAATAGAGAAAGATGACAATTGATAATTGGCAAGTCAACGAAAGAATGCAGAACATTCTATCGTACAGAAACTGTATGTCATATATATACTATTTCAATATTCAAAACAAGACATTATTCAAAGCTCTCCAATAATTCGACCATAATCGAAACTTCCAAGAAGAAAAACCAAATTTCGGCATTAAAAATCTACTTTTTCTTTCTTAGTATATGATATCAATTTAAAAGTTAAACATAAGGAAAAGAAAACAAAAATGCTTTATGAAGATCTCTAGCCTTCGAATACATATATTTAAATTAAATAAATCATTCTTATACATACTTTATATGCTAATTTTGATGGACATTTAGTTCCAAATCCAACAGGTGGTGACATAAGTCTTAGCATTTCAAACATTTTTGTATATTCCAATTTACCACTATTATAAATTTAAATTCATATAAAACCAAAACTCAAAAAAAAAACAACCAAACAATACATACGTTCCATCAGGATCATATTCAGACCAAGCTCGAATAAATTCATCAAGATGATGTGCACCCAATATAGATGAATCTCGTGTTAAATAATCAAAATTATCCATAATAACAGCAACAAATAAATTCAACATCTAATTCAAATCATATTCAACAATAAAAACAAAAAACAAATTCTTTTTTTTACTTACCAAAAATGATGAAAGAAAAACAAACGAACAAAAATAAAGATATGCAAAATTTGATCCACATTTACTTGTAGTTTTTGCTTGATATCCACTATTATATGGTGGTTGACAATCAACACCAGCTTTACATGCTAACATAACTGCTTGCCAACTTTCACCTGTTGCACATCTGATAATACAAATGAAGAACAAAATAGAAAAAAAAAACAAAAATTATTTATATTCATAATTAAAATAAATAAAAAACAATCAAAACAAGAATTCCATTTAAAGCCAACAACAATCACAAATACCTGAACAAGAGCATTAAAGCATAAAGAAAATTGGCAAAATTATTGTGTCGATTTATCTCGGATTTTCCTGAATCATGACGAACATTACCAAAAACCTTATTTGGAAAGAAAATATATATATCAAATAAAAAAAAAACTAAATATCATGCAAAGATATTCAAAATTATATCAAAAAAAAAAGAAATTCACCACTATCACAGAACAGAAAATAAAAAAAATATATTATGTAAACGAAAAGTTATAAATAAATATTATCTAAATTCATCTAAAGAATTTCGTAAATTTTTTTTTTTACTCTTGCCTGAATAAAACGAGTGTAGCTTGAAAAATGTTCTGAAAATTATTGTGATGATTCATTGTCGATGTATGATCGACTTTTACATTTCCAAACATCTGTAGGGTAAATGAAATTTTCATTTTTTTTAAACTCATTTAACTATGTACTTTAAACTAATGATTTTTTTTTTCAAAAAAAAAAAAAACAATACAATAGAATTATTCATACCTGCATGCCAATAATAGCATAAATAAAAAAAAGCATAGCTATTAATAAACAAACATAAGGTAATGCCTAAATATATAAAACAATGTTGTTTTTTTTTCTTCTTCTTATTGTTCTAATTAAATTAAAATAATAATTTAGATTTTACTTTAAATGATTGTATAAATGTCCAAAGTAAAATACGTATTGTATATCCTTGACGTAAAAGTTTTATTAAACGAGCAGCACGAAATAAACGAAGAAAACCCAAATTAAGTAATGTATTCTACAATAAAAACAAAAAAATATTATGAAATATATCGAATAAAAAATTTGTATCATTGCCCAATTCTCAGACTTGATTTTTAACTAGCATTGAAGTGATCCGTGATACTTACGAAGGAAATTTTCCAATTGATTCATCGGAAATTAGCTTAAAAATTTTTGTTAAGACCTATCTATATGCAAAGATTTTAGTCGGAATTCGAGAAACAGTGTTTTTGAGCGGCCCCCCCCTCAAACAAAGTCATTTTTTGTCAAATTTATCAATTTTGTGATCCAAAGCTACAAAGCATCTACTCTCAAATGTACTATAGTTGATTGATTTTATATAAGTTTTTCTGAACCTTCATATTGAAAAAAAATAAGGTTTTCAAAAAACTTATTATCCGTTTTTTTGAGTATATTGTTTGCGCCGACAAACTTTACTCAATAACGACTGAATATAGAAGTGATAATGTTATTTTTTTATTGCATAGAGGACAGTTAGGGCTAGATCCTCATACATTTCGTTTTTTAAATTCCTCTATTGGCGAAATAAAAAATTTACATATTTCATTTTTATCAACGGTACTTTTTGGTCATGAATTCAAGAATTTTTCAGAATACAAATTTAAAAAGCTATTGTAAAAACGCAGTAATAAACGAAAGGCCAGATTTCATTAGGGCACATAATCCCAATTCAAACGCGATTAAGTAATCTTTGTCGTGCGACACTTTCGCTTTCTTTTCTAATCAGGAAAATGTAAAATCTTATATAGGTAATGATACATTCGCAAGCATATGAGTTAACGATCTTACCTTGTGTTTCTGTGGACCAGCTGTTACAGAAACATTAGCTTTGCCACTAAACTAAAATAAGTAACAAAAAAAAAAGTTCCTAATAAATTCATATCATCATATTTTAATATAAATATACTCGAAATTCTGTAACAAGTACATCAGCAATACTACCAAGTACTGTAATAAAATCAAATGCATTCCATTTATCATGAAAATAATTCTAAAAATTTTTATTTAAAATAATTTTTTTTTTTGTCCTGAACTAATTAATTCTTTTCAACATACTCTTAAACCAAATGCCATTATTTTTAAAATACTTTCAACAGTAAATAAAGCAGTAAAAGTTGTATTAGCATATGTTAATATATCATTATATGTTGGTGGACTTCTATAATACTATAATAAAATTTATTAAAATAAAAAAACATTACAAATCTCAATAAAATTAAAACTTACTTTTGCCATAAGTACACAAGTATTAAGTGCAATCATAACCATAATACAAAATTCAAAATATGATGATGTACATAATAACCATATTCGATAACGTAATGAACCTTCTTGTTTAGGTCTACATCTTTGTATAGGTTTAGCATTTAATGCAAAATCAATACATGATTTCTAAATATTTTCATTATAAGAAAAAAAATTATTTCATTATTAAAACTAACTTGATTTTTTTCTATTTCAGCTTCTTCTAATTCTTTTTGTCCTTGATCTTGAAATGTTATAATAATTAAAGCAACAAATATATTTACGAAAAAAAATGGAAATACAATAAAATAAACAACATAAAATACTGCAACTTCAAGACGATGACTAGGTCGTGGACCACGATTAACACCAGTAGCATCAATTGAATGTTGTAATACACTAAAAATTTGTCAATTTTCTAATTTTTTTATTTAATATTAAATAAACTTACGTTGGCCATCCTTCACCTGTTTGAACAGTAAATAATGTTAACATAGCTTGTGGAACACTATCATAAGTAAAATCATATGGTTCCCATCTTCGTTTTTGACATTCAGGTTTATTTTTACCATTACCAAAATCAAAATAATATCCTCTATAAAAATAATTCAATAGAAACAAAAACAATTAAAAGTCATCAATACATACTGACATTCTTCAGGTGTTAATTTTGATAGATCAGAACATCGATAAAATTTTCCTTTAAATAATTGTACAGCAATAACAGCAAAAATAAATTGAAATAACATATAAACAATTCTAATATTATTTACAAAAAGAAAAGAAAAAAAAATAATTATTAGAAAAAAATAAATAATTTTTACAATATAGTTAAAACATTTGATAATGAAGTAATAACACAATCAAATACAGCTTTTAATTTTGGTACACGATTAATTGTTTTTAATGGACGTAATACACGAAGAACACGTAAAGATTTAATTGTATTTAAATTTTTTCCAGCTCCATTTTCTCTTTAAAAAAAAAAGTAAAAAAGATTCGAAATATATATTATTTTAAAAAACGTTTTCTTACGTAAAACCAAAAGCAACTAATGCACAAATAACAACAAGTGCATCAAGTAAATTCCATATATCACGACAATAAGAACCTTCATGAAGTACAACACCTAAATCAACAATCTAAAAAAAAAAAAGAAAATATTTTCATTTTTGTTCAAAAAATTGTTTTCTTTTTGTTTAAATTCATTTTAACAAACCTTCAATAATAATTCAACAGTAAATACACCTGTAAATGCATAATCAAGATAATTGAGTACTAAATTACGTGTTGAACTTTCATGTACAGGATCTTCAGCAGCTAATGATATTGAACTAAGACATATAACAATCATAATAAGTAAATCAAAATAACGAAGAGTAACAATAAAATGACAAAATCGACGAATCCTATAATACATAATTATATAGAAATATATATATTTAAATCAAGGTTTTTATTCAATATGAGGGATGTAAACACTTCGAAAAGCAGAGCCGGGGGAGGGGAGACACGTATTGTAGGAGCGAATTAAGAGAATAGTGGCGTATCCAGGATTTTTCCGGTATGCTGGATTTCAACTTCAGAGCATGGGACCCAGATGAAACTTATAGAGATATGATATTGAGTCCAAATGATGAGTTTTTATCAAAAGATTTTTGTAATGGAAGTTTGCGAAAAAAATTAGCATTTTCCTGAGCCTCACCAAGATTTTTCTTTTTCTATTGGTAGTATGTTGATTTTTAGAATTTAATAGTAAGTTACATCGAAATTCATCGACAGATTTCAAATTTTGTCTAAAAATATGCGTTCGTTCGCGAGTTACAATGTTTTGAATTTTTTCTAAAATTTTAGCAGCATGCAGCAAATTTCCAAAACATTATAATTCGTGAACGAATGCATATTTTTAAATGAAATTTGAAATCTGTCGATGAATTTCGATGTAGCTTACTATTAAATTCTAAAAATCAAGGTACTACCAATAGAAAAAGAAAAATCTTGGTGGGGCTCAGGAAAATGCTAATTTTTTTCGCAAACTCCAATTACAAAAATCTTTTGATAAAAACTCATCATTTGGACCCAATATCATATCTCTATAAGTTTCATCTGGGTCCCATGCTCTGAAGGTGAAATCCAGCATACCGAAAAATCCTGGATACGCCACTATTGATAAATCCAGACAATAATATGTTTTATCGTTACAAAAGCAAAGAAATCGTTTACTGATTGGCAAGAAACATTTTCGTGACAATTAATCTAATTTCAGCGAGTTATTTCTTCATTATTACAAGATGAAACAAGGATTCTGTTTCGATCATATAAAACCGTAGAGAAAAACTCATAGTTTAATATTAATTAATAAAATTTAACTGAATTTTACGTTAAGTTAAATGATTATCAACTTTAGTACAGACTTTACATTATGCGGAGGTGAATATGTCCTCCGAAATCAAAACAAAAAATAAATCGAAATAAATCATATTGATTCAAATGTATAATTAAACTTACGGATTAGTACTACTAAAAATAAACATTGAACTATATGGAAGAATTGGTTTAACAGTTCGAGCTTGTTCTTTTTTCTTTGCTTCGGCTTCAGCTGCAGCTTCAGCAGCTTTTTTTCGTGCTGCTTCTTCAGCACGAGCTTTTGCAGTTTCTGGATCATTAAATCCTTGTAATTTATCCAATGCTGATATGTAAAAAAAAAAAAAAAGAAAAATATTTTTTTTTTGTTTTTTCAATCGATTATAATTAAAAATAATTTCTACTTGGCATAAAAACTGGACCAAGATCATAATCTAAACCGGGTATATAATCAAGATTAGCTTTTTCAAATAGATGTCTATCTAAATAATCATCAGTTTTTGAAACTATTGGTTGATTTGATGGTTTTTTTTCTAAAACTGTTTTAATAGTATTTTCAGTATGTTCTCGTTTTGTTGTTTGTCGAAGATTATTTCGATTTAAAAATGTTTCTTGATCTGTTTTTTTAGATTTAACATTTGGTGTTGTTGTTGCTGTATCTGTTGGTGGTGGTGATGATGATGATGAACCTAATTTAAACATTGATTCAACATCTTTTGATTCACGTTCACGTTTCTAAAAATTGTTTTTTTTGTTTAGTAATAAATTTTTTATTTTCTAATAAATATATAGAAAAATTACTTCTTCTTCAGCTGCTTGTTCTTCTTCTTCATCTTTTGTAAGTTCATGTGCATTTGCTAAATTATCAACAGCAATAGCCAAAAATACATTAAGTAATGTATCTGTTATAAAAGAGATTTTTGTTTTTTTTTTTTTTAAATTTATAATAAATAAAATAATCTTACAATTGCCAAATAAAACAAGAATAATAAAATAAAGTGAATAGATCATGCCTTTACCATGAGGTCCTTCTTGAGATATAATACCATTATACATAATTTCATTCCAATCTTCACCAGTTAAAATCTAATAATATAAAGATTATATTTTAGTTAAAAAAAAAAAAAAAACATTCATTGAAAATACTTTACTTGAAAAACAGTTATAAGTGCTGTAGCAAATTTATTAAAATTTTGTAATGGTGTTCCATCTTCAAAATTGAATCTATTTTTAAAATAAAAATTTTTTCTAATAAAATAATTTCAATATTAAATATAATAACTTACTCGCCACCAAATAATTGCATACCCAATAATGCAAATATTAGAATAAATAAGAAGAGAAGAAATAATAAACTAACAATTGATCGCATACTACTCAAAAGTGATACAACTAAATTACGAAGAGATGCCCAATGCCTATACAAAAAAACAACAAGAAATTTTCTAAATATTAATTTGATGAACATTATCAATATGATAGAAATCTAACAAGAAAATCTCTCTAAATGTTAATCGCCGATCGAGCTCATACTTTGTCCATAAGTAAGACTCTATGAGACTAACAGAAGCTAGGAGGAATTCGTCCCCATATGCTGTCCTTCTGGAGTTACGACTGTTTTACTGGTCTTCCGACCTCTGGCAATGGTATTTATACGAAAGCTCAACAATGAAATTTTGTCCATAAACAGGTTTCAGCTAAAATGAACGTTTCTTGCTCGGGATATTAAGTTTCTAAGAAGCTCGATTTTTTGACTTTTGCCTTTGAAATATGATCGTTCGTTGAAAATTCAATATCATGAAAAAGAAATGTTCATTTTAGCTGAAACCTATTTATGGACAAAAGTTCCATCGTTGAGCTTTCCTATAAATACCATTGCCACAGGTTGAAAAATCAGTAAAACAGTCGTAATTTCAGAAGGACAGCGTGTGAAACGACTCCTTCGGAACTTCTGCTACTGTCATCGAGTCTTACTTATAGGTAAAATATGAGTTCGATCAGCGATTCACACTTGAAGAGATTCCCACGTAAGACATTTTAATGAAGATTTTCATAAAAATTCTTTATTTTAAAATTTTCTTGGTTCGCTACCTTCATATGCAATAAAAAAAAAGTTGTTACTACAATTCCTACGAGATTAAAATGTCAAACACAATAAAGTTGTTACTATTGTAAGAGTTATTATCTCGTAATCACGTCTGTATATTGGTGTAAATTTTCATTTTTATACTTCAACACTTCTTTGACATCATATTTTACATATAAAATTCTTTTGTTTTTTCATCAGCTGAACATATCTATAGAAAATTTTATGTACTGTGTACCCTGTTAAATAGACTCTACTGATGATTAATAAATTTCGTTAGTGATTACAAATTGAAATCAATTGAATTATATCTATATCCGGTGATCAAAGAAATCAAACTCTTCTTTTTTTTTATATGTCGCAATAGATATTTACTAAATATATATATATTTAAATGATTAATATTTGATTTCGATAAAACAAAAAAAAATCATATAAAATTACAAACCGAGTAACTTTAAAAATTCTCAATAGACGTAATGAACGTAAAACTGATACACCAAATGATTCTTCAGGATTAAAATGTGTCCAAATAACTTCAAATATAGAACCAACAATAACCTAGCAAAAAAAAGAAAAAAAAAAAAGAAACTTTAAAAAAACTGCAATCACATACAACAAAATCAAATATATTAAATGATGATGCAAAATATTGATCAACACCAAGACCATACATTTTAAAAAGCATTTCAAAAACGAATAAACCAAGAAATACAAATTCTGCAATATCTAAAAAAAAAACAAATTCAACTAAGAAGAAAAATAAATCATATAATAAAACATACATAAGAAATCTGTAAGAAATTGTTTTTGTCCATCATGTTCAATAGCAACACATGCTGTATTAAGAAAAACAAGTACAATAACAGTCCAATAAAATGCTTGAGTTTTAACCAAAACACGAATTTTACTCCTAAAAATATTCAATCAAAAAACAAAAAAACGATTTTTTTTTTTTTTTTTGAAAAGATTCTTCTTACTTAATTACACGTTGTTGAATATGCCATCGACGACCAAATGTTCGTGGTCGATCAGTTCGTTCAATACCAGTTCCACGACCACGATTAAATGCATGATCTTTAAAAAATACAAACATATAATAGTAAATTTTATAATGATCAATCAAGTTTCACTATCATATTTTAACAACTAATATGAATAATTTTATGAGGCAATAAAAAAATAAATAAGCAATATATTTATGAACATTTGACTCATATTGTTTTATTCCAAAAGAGAATTTATGATTCTTTTTTTTTTTATTACTAAAGAATTTCAGCACATATATGAATGAAATATTAATAGTAAAGTTATGTTGTTCGGATGAATCAATTTGTTAAACTTTTGTTTTTAATCTACATGAATCAATTCAAATCTTTCATATTAATATCCATTTTGATTAGAGATTAGTGTCACATGCAAAGATTATTATTTTGAGATTGAAATCAATTTTTTTCATTTCCTGAATCGTGTCATTATTGTTAGTTTATCATAATATGGAATTATGGATTCTAAATTCTGATTAGATGTCATGCATTCTTATTATTAAAGAATCTCGTTCAGATAAATGAATATAACAAAACATGTTGATTTCTTTTTTATTGTTAAGATATTTTTTTCAACATATTTATGAAAATTTTCAGTCGATTGAAAGCTCTCAGAAGTCGTCACAATTCAAAGTTTTATTACTCGAAATCAATAGTTTCTATGAATCATACCAATATCATCTTCATCATCATCTACACTTTGTTGTTTTCCTGCTCGATAATGTCGAATTTTTTTTAATGCTGCATATTTTCGAGCTAAAAAAAAATAAAATATCATATATATATATATAAATAATGAAATACACTTCTTTTGTAAATTTACCTTCATGAATTGCACGTCGTTCTTGTTCTGTTGTTCTTTCTTCATTTAAAATAACATCTTCTATAATAATAAAAGATAAAATAAATATTTCTTTTTTTTTCAATTAACAAATAAATTAATTTACCAGCTCGATTAATCCATTCAACATAATTATTATATTCTCTTTCAACTTGTTGTTGACGACGAATTTTAACAAATGCTCGACGATTTTCTACACGTTCTCTTTCTTTTGCAAATTCTCTATTAGAAATTAAAAAAAAACATCGAATACAAAATTCCCGAAAAAACATTTCAAATTTTTACCCGCTCAAAACACCAAGAACAAGATTAAGCATAAAAAATGAACCAAGTATAATTAATGGTACAAAATAAAGCCAATTAAATAAAGTTCCTACTGCATCATTTGTCTAGATTAACAAAACAAAAACATTATTTTCAAATATGATTTTTTTTGAAAAATGTTCTATACCCAATAAAGTACTTGTGTCCATCCTTCCATAGTTATACATTGAAAGACAGTAAGCATAGCAAAAACAATATTATCAAAACTAGTTATGCCCTTATTTGGACCAATCCAATATTCACGACAAACAAGTGATTCATTTGGAATATTACATGTAAATACACCATGTTTTATATTTAACCAACCCCATATAGGATCTAATTTATTAAAACAAAAAAAAAAAGAAATACCGTTTAATACAATTCCTACGAGATTAAAATGTAAAACACGATGTAACTCGATCTTATATTGTTAATCACAAAAAATTCTTTTATTCTATCTATTTTTCAAATATATTTCTTTAACTATACTTTTAATTAATACTTAAGATATGTTAATAAGAAAATAGTTTATATGTTATTCATACACAATCTTTAATAGTATATTATCAATGTTTGTTACAGATAGAAGCATTACCTAAGATATCTGTCATGCTTCGTAGGAGGTGCGAATTTCTATCTTGTCTATTTTAATACTTCTTTTTTTCTTTTTATATCATATTTCACAATAAAAGAAAAAAAAAATTTTCTAAATTACCTCCGGGTACTCCACATGTAGTTGGAGCATCATTGTCAACTTTGTATATTACTAATAAAATAAATAAAGAAAAATTATACAACAATAAGAATCAGTGGCGTAGCCAGGAATTTTTAAGTCATGGGCAATTAACTATTTTGAGTTATGAGCAGCTAAGGGCAACCGTTATGATTTCAAAAATATATATGGGCAATAACTGTTCAAGCATTGTATAGCTCAATAAATCCATGGGCAATTGCCCAATGGCCCTACCCCTGGTTACGCCACTGATAAGAATATTTATAAATAAAATAAATTGTAACTTACAATCATCGTTATCATTGTCAACAGCTAGAAAAAAAAAATTTAATATTAACTTCGTCAAAAACAAAACATGATCGATAGTAATATTATTCTTAAATTCTCATGAGAACATGTTTGTGAAAACAACTTTTTCATCAATTAATAGGAAAATATTATAAAAAAAAAAAAAAAAAACGATTTGTCGATTAATATAGAAAAAAAAAAAGAATATGTCATGCAAAAATAGAAAATATATAGAATTTATTAAATACATTCAATATCAAATAGATTATTCGTAAAATTCAAATCTAAACCTTCATTATATCGATTAATAGTTTTCTAATGAAAAAATGGAAATTGATTTTTTTCTAGTATAATAATCCTATTCTATTCTTTGTTTAGAAGACAATAAGATTTTAATGTCATTATTCTTTTCTTATTTTTTGCAACAACAACAACAGAAAAAAAAGAAAGAAATACTAAAACACATTGAGAAAATAAGTCAATAATAAACGTCTTTTTTTTTTGAATGCTGAAACATTTATGTGATTTACATTTAAAAATGTAATTTCAATGCTTCAAAAAAAAAATCATTTTATGAGAATATTTTTTTTTTTTTTACTTTATATTTAAACATTTCTATGTAATAGAATTCATTTGAAAATATTATCAATGCATCAATAGTTTCACCAATAATAATAGCATGTGTTTAAATTCAATTTTATAATTAGATTTTTAATTTATATTACATATTTATTATTATTTTTTCTTCTTCGTCTTAATCTTATTGCTCATTTGCATGTTAATAAGTATTTATTATTAGTCATAGAGAAAACGATGAATTTAGATTTGATTCATATTGACATGATGATTTTGTTTAACTGACGCATAAGAATATTTATTATTGAAAATTATTGATGCATAAAATGATTCATCACATACTTAAATCTATGATTCTTAATAGAAGAAGAAAAAAAAAAGGAAATATATAATTCTATTAGAGAGAATAATAATCAATATATATATATATTTTCTTTTCTAATGTTACCATAAAGAAATCCTACAATTGTAACAATTCTAAAGCTTTCCGTTTTTTTTTCTAATCAGAACGATAAGATTATAAAAAAAAATACTAGACGAAGGGACACATATATATATATAAATATCTAAAATAAGTTCATTTCCGATAGTTTTCCCTTTTTTTTTAAACAAATATATTCAACTACTGACCTGTTTTATTAGCATAAAAACAAGTTGTATGAAAAACTCCTGAATATAATTCAAGACCAATAATAGCAAAAATGACAATAGCGAAAAGAACTAAAAGAGCTATTTGAAATAATGGAGCCATTGCTTTTAATATTGATTTAAGCACCACTTGAAGACCTAAATCATATGAATATTATTATTAGATAAAAATAACTTTTAAATTAGAAAAAAAAAAACAAATAAAATATACTTGGAATGCCTGAGACCAGTTTAAGTGGTCGAAGAACACGTACAGCACGTAATGTGCGTAAATCAAAAGAACTATCTTTTTTAATACTAATTGTTGCCAAACTAAATTATATACAAAAATTTATAAGAAAAAAAAAAATTATTATTTTTTTGTTTTTTTGTTCAATATTCTACCCAGTAACAACAACAATAAAATCCATTACATTCCAAGGACTTCGAAGATATGAACCACGATGTAACATAAATCCCAATGCAATTATTTTAAGAGCAGCTTCAAAAAAAAATATTCCAAGAAAATAAATTTCTGTTTTTTCCTATAAGATTGAATAAAATAAATAAAATAATTTTGATAAATGATTCTTTTTTTTTTTGATACAAACTAATGATCTAGCCACTTTTGTTTTATCATCTTTGGGTAAATGTTCTTCAAGTGCCAAAACAATACAATTAGCAATAATTGTTAATAGCACCATATATTCAAATGGACTAAATTTAATTAATTAATTTTTCTTTTTTTTGTTAATAAATAAACAATAGAAGAAACTTACTTCCATTCAATAACATCATTAGCTCGTTTTCGTATCCAATTTTTTTTTGAAAATATAAATAATGATCGTTCATTTGATGCATTTATTTTTTGAATATAATTTTTTAATTTAGCTTTCCATGCACCACTTCGACCCGAATGTAGACTATGTGGATCACCGCCAGTTAATGCTGCCAAATTGCCACCTTCCTTTAGCGCCCTGATCATGGCAGATACATTGTTATAGTCGCCCATGATTTAGGCCTTGAAATTTATACGATTATCTATCTGTTCTCGTTCTCAGTGAAAAGGAAACATGGGTGTTGCAATATAATGGCAAGTAACATCACACATACATAGTAAAGAAATAGAAAACGAAGAAAAAGAAAACAGGCGGCTAGAAGCAAAAGAAGAATAAATGCTGTTGACACACACGACTTTACTCTCTCCGTTCGACTAACGAGAAAGAGAGAGAGAGAGTGTGAGAGAGAGAGAGAAAGACGTTCAACAATCTCTAGTTTTCTTTTTTTTTTTGCTTCTCTCTATCATGCTAGAAAAGCAAAACGGAACAAAGCCAACCCTTTCCTTTCTCGTTCTTTTGACGTGATTCCCCAACAGAATTGAATGAACAACAGAGCTTAAGCGCAAAAATGAAACTAAGACTTACATAAGCATTCAATGTCGATATGAACAACGAACACGATGATCAATTTTGTAGTGTATAGGAAAAAGAATAGGCGAGAACGTAACAAAATTTTTCTCGTTTTTGTTATTTCACGGTGTAATTAAGCGACGGAAAAGAATTGATAGATACAAGGCAGGCAATCGAAATAGCAGCATGCAAAAAAAGAAAACATGCCTGGTTTATCTTATTGATCTTGAGTGTGACATTGATGATTTTCGAAGTGTCCTTAGGGTGAATCTTGAACTACTCGAGAGAAAACATGAAGGCTTTTATCTAATGATTCAATGTTCTTTAAGAAAAACTCTCATGTTTTATGATTAATATACTAATATCTTTCCAAAAATCTCTATGTACTCATAATAAACAACAATAAAATCATTATAAATTTCTTAATATTTAAATTTTATTAAATATGAACGAATTATAATATTAATGAAAAAAAAAAAGAAATACTAGTTGAATTATTTATATATCTTAATGTTGATTAAATAATTTGAATGCAATCCTTTTCTTTTCTTTTTTATTTTGTTGATGTTCGTTGACATAAAGAGCATACTCAAGGGTGTTCATCATTGCAGTAATTCAATTTTATATTATTATTTAGCAAAACAACAAAGGTTCTTGATGTGATTATAGATCAAAAGCAAAGTTTCTCTCGTTTCTTTTTCTTTTTTTTTTTTTGTGTGTTATGTTAGAATGTTAGTCACGATCAAACTCATTATAATGAAGTTATTCATAAATATTTAGATCAGTTAAAACAAAAACGGAAATCGGCATTCTACTTCAATGTGATCTAATTCATAATCACTCTATTGACATGAAGTGGAAAAATATATCATATCTACTCTTTAGAACTACATATAAAAGAATAATTCAACTAGGGTTTATGCTTTTTTTTTTCTAGAATTAAAAAAAAAGCAACAACTACCGAATAAACATTGACTATTTTTAATATGAATGTTAATGATAATAAATTTTGTACGAATAATTGATGTCACAAGATATAATTAAAAAAAAAGAAAAGAATAATACTATATATGATAGTTCTTGTTTAAATAATTGATATTACTTGCTTATATATATATAAGATGATTTATTATGTTTATTTTTTAAAAATCAAATTAGCAAAATAACAAAAAGAATACTTGTCAAATTATAGAAAGTGAATAATGAGAAAGAAAAACAAATATGAAAATAATAAACATTTTTAATCTTTTATTTTCTAAGAAAATATTTACTTATAACTATGAAAATATATAATTTTCATCTTGTAGACTTAACTACTATAATTATAAATAATAATTGAACATGAATTTACTTAATAGAATAGTTAATCGTATAGAAAAATTCTTTTTTTGCTGACATTTTTATATGATCTATCAATGATTAATTATTATTTCTATATGAATAGCATAGAAATAAATTCACTTAACTAAAAAAACAAAAAACCTACAATCAATGCCTATTATGTTTTTGTTTTTTTTTTATATATAATAATATTTGCCTAGAGTCATGAATATTTTCTTTTTAATTCATATAACAATCTTATAATACTATGTGAATTATTAGACGAATATGTGTGAGTTCTATAGAATAAATGTGCGATAAATCGAGCAGCAATAACATCGATTAATTCTTTTTTGTTTTACAAAGCAAAGGAAAACCGGAACGATGAGCACGGAAACTTAAGCATGGATACTTAAGCACGGAAATGATAAGCACGAGAACGTTAACCACTGAAAAGTTAAGCACGCAATAAAAAGAAATAGAAGGTAAATAGGACGTCTACGGAAAGATTAATGAATATACATAGATGTGCGTGTAAGCAAATGTGTAGGTGTTAAACTATTTCCTGAATTAGAAGTTGCGTGGCTTCTAATGCATCCACGCAATTTGAATTTTTTTTTTAAGGAAAATTTTGCAAATTCTATGAAATTCATCTTAGTGAGAGGCTGTCTACGTATAAAAAGTGTTTCTGCAAATGTCAAATATTTATAATTAAGAAGAATTTAGTTTCAATTTCCTTTTGTTGATGTCTGAGATCATGGTTACTGTAACTTCCATATTGTCTGGATAAAGATATTTAAGCGTTATCATAGATTAACAAATTCATATTTCTGTCGCTCGTAAGATCATTATTCTATGTGGGAGTGTGAGCCTTTTCTTTTTCTGTAACACCTACATTCATATCATATTAGTTATTCTTCTAAAATTTTTGAATATTAAAACATCTTATAAGCTCTGGAGACTTGCGTTACGATGAGAAGTTTTGTCTTATCTAGGCATACTTTTAATATTTCAAACCTATCATATTGATTATGAATTATATCAATAAACTGTGAAAAAAGATGTTCATGTTTTACAATTCAATGAACCATTTGGTTTGATAAGAAATTGAAAGAAAGCTGAAAATAATTCAAACTTCTTAGATTTGAGATTTTTTAATTGACTGTAGCACGAAGTCTAAGAAAGTTATCGAAATTCATCGTTTGATATTTTGTAATATCAATTTTCTATCGGCGAAAATTGTTGTGTACATTTTACACTCCCATTACTTTTTATGTCTACTTAATTTTTCGGTGATAATTGCTCACTAAAGTAACTACAGCACTCACTCGATCTCTCAAACAATGATTACATTTGTACCAAGTGTAAGATGCACTACAAATCTTAAGGAATTACAAACTCTGTGAAATTCGATGCTATGAAATTTTAGAAATAAAATCGATTTCAAACATAATACATACATTTGTCAGAGAAGTTGAATATGAATTGTGTAACGTTCAATAATGAGTAAGTCAAGCCGACAAGACTTAATGATTCTATTCGAATGAATGACTGTGACTCTGAAACTCTGAGGCAACTAAATAAGAAGCTTGCCGAAAAAGTATTTCCTGTTGTTTTTTTTTGAAAACTCTTTGTGTTTTTTTGTACTTTTTTCTTTCACTCAATACCGAGAGGTATAGATATACTCAATCATATAAGAAGTATAGAATGACTTTAAATAAATGTTTTCAGTAAAAAAAGTAAAATCATCAAGTAAAACTGCATTTATGACAAAGATTTGTACCTCAAATAAATATTAACTACAAGTAAATCTATGTTATTAATTTCTTTATATTTTACAAGTTGGATATTAATGTCTCTCGTTACATAACTTGTGCTTTGCACTTTTATTAACATAAAGAACAGAATATAATCTAATCTGTTTTCCTTTTGAGGATTTATCACAGTGCTCAAAATTAGATAAAAATGTACTCCTAATTTAATAATTCACTAAAAGCTTTATACGTTCGAATATAAATCGTGTCTTACAAAAATTGAAATAAAATACTTTTTATTTATCATACGGTAGACGGAGTTTACTGATTGTAAATCTTAAACTTATGTTCTCTCTAATGAAAATCAACTATTGTTCCCATTTGTCAAAAGCATTGTTCAATCCCTATAGGTAGAAACTAACTATTGTTTCTTAATAATAGAAATCGATTTTGAGCTATTAATAGCCGCGTGAAATCGTAGAGGATTTCGCAATCATTTACTGTGAACTTCTAAATGTTAGAACAACAAGATCAGCATATGATATATCGATCTGCTTAAATTATTAATCAACAGATCTATGGAACAATACAAAATCGAAATGAAAAGCAATCAGTGTAATGTCGATTAGATTAAAATATAAATTAATTCAAGTTACGTAGATTTTCGAGAGTTTATAAGTAAGATGAATCAAAAAAGGCATATTCTAGATTAGAAAAAGGTTCAATGAATTTATTGGCATTCGCAAGGTCAAAAGTGCAACTACTACGGTCGATCCTTGTATTATAAACATATAAAATACCACCAGTGATTTCCGAATCACCTCAGATTTTCTTTGCAACACAAATACGTGTATTAAACTATCATACATGTATTCGAATACTAGAAAATAACATAGACGCATTTATAGATTAATTAAATAAAAATTTTAGATCAAACGTAGATGTCAGATTTTACACTAGAGCAGTCTTTGTAATTATAATAAAGATTATTAACTTTGTTAAAAAAAAAAACTTTTAGACACGAGTCGTTATCTTGCATATGATGATGCTCATATTAACAAGAAATATACTAATATTTGTGAAGTTTATTAAAACCGATGCTATGACACGCTTTCAATTAGAATGAAATAACAAGATAAAAGTTTAGATTTTATATAAACAGAAAAAAACAACATCGAAAGAAATACTAAATGTTTTTTTTTTATAACGAGCTAAGTACAAAATAGATCAACGTCAAATCAAATATTAGAACAAATTCAGGATTGAATTACAAAACAAAGCTATAAAATATTATGTCAAGATGATAATCTATGCAATGATGTGAAATTTGATATCAATACTGTGGAAAGAATAAGTTTCGAACATGTGAAATGTTTATACGTCATCTATTAATTAAGTTACATGTCGTTTTTCTTTTATTTAGATTAAATTTTCATTAATATTTAGAATTACATCGAAAAACAAAAATAATTCCTCGTTTCTTATTTTAAATACTATTGACAAGTTGATAGAAGAAAATATTCAGACTTGTCTCTTATCGACAATCAAGAAGTACTTGATTCATTGAATAGATAATTATTATAGACATTAAATAGAGTGTACTATGGTTTACATCAATGAGAAATTATGAACGAGTTTTATTAAAGAAAATTAGTATTATGAAAAAGGTAGTATGTCATTGATTTTATTCTGAGAAAAAAAAGGTCATCAGAGAAGTCGAAGTTCGTAGCGTAAGACTTGTATCTGTTAAGATTGACTTTTAATCATAACAGTTACAAGTTTTCTAAGAACTTTCATGTGTTAACTCTTTTTTCCTCTATAACATATTTTATCTTATGAATATCAGTTACTTAATAAAATCGTAACAAATTACAAAATATGTAAAAGTCTGTACAAAAGACTGGTGTCAAAACATGGTCAAATGAAAACTAAAAAATTTTTATCATAGAAAATTCGAGATAAAATAATAAATCCTATCGAAACTTAATCGATTGAGTACAAAGATAGAACATTGAGATAAAGTTTTCGATGTGTGTCACTATAGCGAATGAATAGTTGAGTTTAATAAGTTTGGTTTTGTGTATATGTGATGTATGATTCTTACCTTATATTGAAGAGTATGGAATAGAATGAATTATGTAACTTATAACTTATATTTTATATCAAATGTGAGAGAACTTGAACTTATCTATCGATGACAATAATAAAGAATCTCAAAATGATGGAACCTGCATATATATATTAGAACATATTTGCAAACTAATCTTTCCGCATTTGGTTTTTTTTATGGTTTTAAGCGGAGATTATGTCTTCTATAAAGACTCAAATAAGCCATGAATAATATTTTGAAATGAATTCGTAACCTTAACTTATTGCTGCGATAGTACTGCACTTTTTTATAGTATATTTTAAATGAATGTCATAGTCTAGAAAACCTGAGTTTTGAATTTCAACTCGAAATTTTACATAAAAATAGGTCTTAATAAAAGTAGTCTACTAGGAATATTTCAGGTCTTTTGATTCATTCCTATCCTGAAATAAAAACAACAAATCTGTTAGTTAATATGAGTGATGGAAATGACATACTATTACCATAGTTGTATCTTAGAATAGGGAACAGCGATAATATCTCGAATATTCACAATAGATTACTTTCGTTAAGGCGTGTTTCTATGCATAGTTAAAGATACGAGCTCTTTTTTTAATGGTATTCATGGTTTATTTAAGTCTGCATAATGCATCAATGTCTCGACTCAAAAGCGATAAAACAGTTGAAGAACTTCCCTTATGAAATCAGAAAATAAAATAATGCATGAATTTTCTATCAATTAAATTGTTATACTCTATGGGATTTGTCTAATATCCAATCAAAGAAAATCTTTCAGTGAATAAAACATCTCTTGGATTGTTGTTTTCTTTTTTTCTTCACTCATAGATTATTAATTAATATGACAATTATTTATCACCCAAGGGCATAAACTAAATAAATTGTTTATTTTTTATTTTTTTTTGCTGTATTTATCTCATGATATATTCTTTCTTGGAAAAAGACACAAAAAAAAAAACCACAATACTTATATTTCTTACTCACCCGAAAGAATGAAGACCTGCTGCACTGCCATTCGATAATTTTGCTTTTTTCACTTGTGCATGTGTAAATACAACATCTCTCGTACCATATAAATCCAATGCACGACGTCGACTCATTAGAGATGTACTATCACGACGTATAGCAATTGAAGATGCACTGTCACGATGTAAACCCATTGGAGATAAATTTCCAGGACGTTGAGTATTTAATGCTGACCATTGTACTGGATAATTTGATCCATAAACACCATTTTTTGAAACACGTCTAACTGTTGCTGATCGTCCACCAGCTAAGAATATACTCATATTTTCGTTTTTATCTAATAAATTAAAATGAATATATATATATATATTAAGATAAATATTTAATACAGAGTGAAAATTGATTGTTTTTTTTTTCTATTCAAATAAACATATGAAAAATCTATGTGACTTAAGAATTTGATAAAATCATCTCAAATGTAATACAGCATGACTATTAATAAACATGTAAATACAAATAAAAAACAAACGAGAATATAATCCTTCGGTACTCATATCTTTGATTAAGAAATATAAGAAAATGATTGCATAAAAAATTCAATACCAATGTTCTCATGATAGAAATAAATGTCGACACTTCTCGGTTTATCAACTTATGAATAAATGTTCAAATAAAACGAAGACGACTCATTTCATGCTTGGTCACACCCTACAACTATATAATCAAATCAATGAAAAAAAAAAGAGTAGCGCATACAAACAACAAAGACGCAAAAAAAAAGAAAAGAAATAGATTTTCAAGATAGTATTATCATTGATATACAATTTTTTTTTTTGTTTTTGAAAAGCAAAATAATACTATTATTCAGGTAATAGAAAATCTTCAAGAATCTTTCACATAAATTTACATATACACAATATGTTTGAAAAAATTCTATGTGAAGAAAAGAGTAAATAGTTATGATTTTCTATGAATAATATTAATCGCTATAAAAATACTATACTAGTCACTACTATTGATCTAATTGATGATAATAAAGAGTGACAAGAATTCAATGTTAGAAATATATAAACATTTGTAAAGTAACAAAAAAAAAAAAAAACAAACTTTATTTTATGAAATAACTAACAGTTTAATTTTTACATTACATTCATCAAGAATGAATTCACCAATACAAAAAAACAATGTATATATTTATTCTATGTTTTCTATAAATGTAATTTCTTTAAACTAACAAAAACATAAAGTAAAGTTTAACATAGTTAATGCTTCAAAAATTTCCGCAGAAATAAAATATTTGTTCTAATATGCGTTTTTACGCATATCTCGTAGATTCTGCACCTATGGTGTTTTCACATGTTTCCGTTTTCCATTTATTATACAAATAATGAATAAAACAAAAAAACAAACACATCCATCGAACAATTCCGTTATAAACCAAAAAAGGAAATCACTACTCAATTATCATTCATTCATTCATTAGATTTCTAAATATTCATATGATTTATAAATGTCTCACAACATCAACAGTGAGAGTCTTTCTGTTCAAAAAAAAGAACAAATGTTTTAATCTGAGATAGGAAATAGTAGAAGAAAAAAAAAATAATTATTGACATTTATTTTCAGACAATGTTCTAGAATCTATTATATAGAAAAAAAAGAAATTCCAACTGTTTCTCTGACATTTTTGTTTTATTTATTCAATATTCACAATCAAATAACATTGACTTATTGCAAATAAAAAAAAAAAATAATATATAAACAAGTTTTTTTTTTTCTTAATGTCTTAGATAAAATGTATCACAGCTATTTCTGTATGTTTTAATGTAATAAGAAATGTACTTTTTATCAATAGGGAAGTGCATTTTTTTTCTGCTTAATGATTCATCAAGACAATGGATGTTGTATTCTACTAGAACGGCAAATCAATTTGAATGTTTGCTAAGTACACTATGTAGATGTTCTTTTTTTGTCACTCCGGATTAAATGAAGCGCTAAAAATAACGGGTGCTCGATAATAAATGATCGACTGTTATTATGTCTTTTGAGACATTTAATGCGTTTTATTTTAAAGTTCAGTTCTAATTTTGCTGAATAGAACATAAAAAAAAATGGTTTGTATATGCCAATGCTAATACTAAAAGTTCAGTTTTGTATACCAGAAAAATGAATTCTCTGCATTTCATACTCACAATCTCAACATTTTTGTCAAGATTTATGTTTTGAGAAAAAAATTTTCGAACTAATAATTCATGAGATTTTTCAGTGTATTATTTAAGCATAATGTTTTTCACAAATCAAAGTTTTCCTAGAAAATATTGAACTTTGTACGAACGGATGTAGAATTTAGTTCTAAACAAACGATTGCGAATGTTCTATTTTAGCACTAAAAATAGCTAGAGAGAGCATCGGACCAATTCTAATAAAGCTTTTTTTTTACAATATTGAGACTCATCGTTGGAAAATTTTTTTTTTTTGTTCATTTAATATGAAATATCCGTTAATTTTGTAAACAGAATATAGATCTGTTAAACACTTACGAAATAATATTTGTTTTAAATCAAGTAAAATTCTAATTGTTAGTTTTGATATAGTTTTGACTTATTCATATAATAATATATATAAATATAATGCTTGATGATATGGTCAGTAGGATGTTTTTTTTTCTTTATAATCGATAAAAAAAAAATAAGCATTTAATTCTTTGTTTTGGTCGTTGTGCAATAAGATTAGAATTTTTTTATAATTTCCACGTTCTATATTCAGCGTTGTATCTCATAATAATTGAAGTAATGAAAACAAGAAACTGTGTGCAGAACATAGACAACGACAAAAGCTGTGTCTTCATCATTGTTTTTTTTCTTATCAATATTTTATATAATACATCTGATTATTATATAGAATATTTTCTTCTCTTCTCTGATATATAGAAATTTTCTATCAAGAAAATCTGAAACATTTATGATAAAGATTATATGAAATGAAGCATCAAATTGCATTTAGAAAGAACTTGTTAACGTAGCTACTTTGATGTGTGAGTCTCATATGTATGCTTTAGTTTCATTATATTAATACAGAAACGCGTAATATGAAAAAATTTCTTACAGACAATAGTCATTTTTCAAGGTTAATCGATAGCAAGAGAAACGATCTGTTACATTTATTTTTGCATTTTGAACAGATTTTTTTTTGTGTCTTATTGCCTTGGATTTTCGTACAATGTTTTTCTTAATTTAATATTATTACTAATTCTAAAAATTGATTTAATTGATAAAGAAGCCGGTTGGACAGATCAAATGTATCTACATCAGATCTCGACATACTATTATATATTGTAATAATGCCTGTGACAAGTCAATGTATCACTATTTATCAGTGTTGATATCTTAAATATAAAATTTTATCTGAGCATATCGAATTTCCAATCGATTTTTTTCTGTTGTTGCGTCCTAGTTTTCAAGGATATGAAGTTTTTAAAATTTAAGAACTTTGGCATGATTATTATAAAAAAATATGCATACTTTGAAAGATTCATATCTTGGAGATACTTGATCAAGAAATTCTGCATTTTTATTCTACAAGTTGGTCTAATCAGTGCCTTTATATGGGCAAAGTTTCAGATCAAAATTTACAAGTATGATTTCACTTAAAGACTAAGGTCCTACAGGACTACTTGAATTACTTTACAAGTATTTGAAATTAGTTGATAGTTTGTATCCATCTTATCTTCCTATTGTAAATATGCTGATGTTTATCATACTGATTATTGATTGTATTCATCATTTTTACGTAAATGAGATCTAGTTTGAACTACCTCAAAAAAAAAAGAATTTTTTTCTGTACATGTAGCATAAAATTTTAGGAATTTCTTGAATTTGACACTGAGACATCGCTATAACCCTTATTATTAAATGTATTGATAAATTCCATATTCGATACTCTTTAACTTAATATAAACTTTGTTGTTGATGTTACTTGAACTCACAGCGTAACCTTCGTAGAAAAGCATTTTTACCTACCTTCTAATAACATAAATTATAGATTTGAAGCATAATTGACGTACTGGATGTTGTCCTTGTAAAAAGAGTAATCAGTTTTGGATATAAATATAAAACTGATATCAACTATAAAAGACTGAAGCTTGTTTATCTAGAAAAAAAAACATAACTAAATACCGAATTCACTTTATCATCCTTATACAAAGAACAGACGTTCTTTTTCTTGAAAATTATGAATTTATAAACTAGTATCATTTTGTGCATGACTTAACATATAACGAATAATGCTATTAATATGTAAAGACAGAAATTCTTTCGATCATTGCAGTTAGATGTAGGAGTCTATAGACTATTCATCTATATGTTTAATGAATATTTATTTCAAAAGGACTCAAGATACTCGGATTATGTTTATGTTCGAAAATATATGCTAACATTCTTTTCTTCTAAGTTCTATCATGATTAACGAAAATTGTTTTCTTTAGTAATATAAAAAAACTAGTGAATCGTTGTTTTTATTTAGTCATGCAAAAAGTTTGGCTTTCTCCTAATTCTATTCATTATTGACTGACGTAGATGAGCAAGAAATGTTTAGGCAACATATGCTGTATTTTATGCATGATTATCCTAATCTTATATGTGTCTCATGAAAATTAATTTTTGGCTTATAGATTTTGAGTCCCAAATATTTAAATCATTTTGTTCTTTGGAGCGTAACAAAAAATAAAATATAACTCTTTTTGATTTTGATCATATTGCTATTTTACAAAGAAATTTGATATATTTTATCCTTTATTTTAATAATTATTCTGAAGATATTGTAATATTTCATCATATTAAAGTGTGTATCTGCATCAATTGTTTTGTTCAAGTTTTCAACTTGTTTGTAGCAATGTAAAAACTTTCATTTTATTTCTTCAATTATTTTTTCAAAATAAATTCGATTCATGATTGTAAAATGTAGTAATTATATTGAACTTACTACTAGATTTTCTGCTTGTATTAGAATTTATTATTCTTTTCTAGCAAAGAACAACTGAAACTGATACCCAACATTTGAGTTCATACCGAGTTTTCAAGAATATGTTAGTCAGATTAGCAAAATTCTAAGAGAGTTTGTGCCTATGAACCTCTAGAGCTAAATTATGAACATTTTCCTGAATTTTCGATCTAAAATTCTGTTCATCGGTAGGTCTAATGACTTCAGGAATACTCTAGAAGTCTCAACTGCAACGAATGTTCCTCTGTCGAGATACTGAATTTTCAAGTGAACTCAATGAACGAACATTCTCAGAGTCATAAAACATATCTATGGGCAAAATTGCGGATCAACATAGCGCTGTTTGATTTTTTTGTAGATCGAAAATTCAGAAAAATGGTCAGATGCTTGCTCCAAAAAACCATGGGTAGACCTCTTCGAATATTTTTCTAGTCTTTTCAAAACCTCCTTGGTAACCTAATATGAGATCCAAACAGCGGGTATCAGTTGGAATACTTTTCTCGTATGTATGAAAAGAACTGATTTCAAGAATCAATATGAAGTAATTTTTCATTATTTTCTACAAGCACATGTTGTCTATTTGCATACTGATTCTTGATGATAAACTCAAGTGAAGATTTTTTATTCAATTGAGATAAACTGGATGTAATCGGAAACAATTAATCTAATATTTTGCTAATCGGAAATATAATTTTGTTTGAAGAAGTATAGCTTCGATTATGAGAGAATTGATTTTATTATTACAAAAAAAAGACATTTTGATCAAATTGATGAGCCAATTGTGAGCTAGTTGCCATATAAAACACACATATTTTCATGGATGATTATTCAATTCATTATTTTTACTACAAACTATAACAATTTCTCAGATCAATACATAACTAAAATATCTAAAAACGTAAACAAAATAAAATCATAACAAAATTCTGTAGCGTCTTGATCCAATGCCATCTGTTCTGTTTTGTTTAAATCATCGATCGTGAGCGGACGATGGTGTCATGGCAACATAAACATAAATGTCTATGATATAAAATCGATCATAGAAAATTTTTTCTTGCGTTCTTTTGCATTAATCGAGTGAAGTGAAGTGAAAGAGCTCATACATAAATTATGACTACCTTTGCTCGTCCTTCATTACTCGATAATCGTTATGCAGCTATAGCTGAGACTAGTGTATTCACCTATGATGATGATGATCTTGTTAATTATGCTGATTTTCTTCGGTAATCAAAAAAAAAAAAACAAACGAAACAAATATCAAATAATTATTTAATTTTTATTGATATTTAGAAAACATGGACGTTATATGACAAAAGCAGGTTATGTTGATTCATCTCGACGTGTTCGTTCACTTCATCGACAACAAGATGATTTACTTTTATCACAACATCAAACATCACCATCAAGAGGTGGTTTACTTGCTTCTATTAGTAAATCACCATTATCATCATCAGCACCATTACCACGTAGTACAACACCAAAAAAATTAAAACAATCAACTGGAAATGAATTACCTTCTGTTATATCAATTACAAAAAATCTTGAAAATAAAAAAAAAGAATATGATAAACAAATGAGACTTATCGAGGTCTCTTTGTTTTTTATTTAATAAAAATAAATCTATTTTGAAATTAATCTTATATATATATAGGAACAAATGATAAAAGCTAAACAAACTGAACGTGAAGGTAAACGTTTAGAAGGTGATGTTAAAAAAGAACAACGACATTTACATCATACACTTAAAGAACTTGATAATGGTAAGAAATAATTTTGATATTGATTTTTATAATATGATTTTTGTTTTGTTTTTATTAGATGCAACTAGAAAACATTTTGAAGCTGAAAAAATTTTATCAAAAAATCTTGAAGAAAAAGATAAAATTGAAAGAGAATTTTTAAAGAAAAAAGAACAGGTAAATTTTTATGAATACTGAATAAACTTGTATTCGATCATGTTCTATGAAGCCATATAATAGTAAATTTTATTGGTTTCTTAATGAATAATAACTTTTACATATATTATTCAATAATTTATCAAATGAATAGTATATAAAATAAACGAATGAAAATGTTTTCTTCTTTTATGAACACTTTTTAATATCGCTAAGATTCGATTTGAGGCTGATTTAATGAAATATTTTGTTGTGTTAGAGAAAAGTTTTGACAGTATTCTTTTTCTTATTAATATATAATTGCAATAATTATCGTCTATTCGATTGTGAAAGTGCGATTCCGTATGCTATGCAAACATTGATCGATTTGTTTTTTTTACATCCGATGCTAAAGTAAAGTATATAAAATCAATAGACCGACAATGTCGTGCTTTAGAGTGTCATGGTTTTTTTCAAGGCTATTGATACTATCGTTCCGAAGAAAAAAACGTTTGGAAAATCATGTGTTTTACGTGGTAGGCTCACGAAGTGATTCACCATTTTTGAGGTCATATAGAGGGAGCCTCTAGACTAGAATAATTCTAAAAGGATTCGGGCCCATTGGCCTCCGCTTCAGAGTTATAGTCATATTAATTTAATTTTAGCCTAGGAAACGATGAGACTGATGATATTTCGATCTGAAGTTTTGTCTACACATAGGTCTACTCGTAACTAGAATGTCCTGAAAATTTCAGCTCAAAAGAATGTTTCCTTCACGAGATGTTGAATGTCGAGAAAACATGAGATTCTTGTATCCTTTATGAAATCTGAATAATTTTAGAAAATTCAACATCTCACGAAGGAAACATTCTAACTACTAGTAGACCTATCTGTGGACGAAATTTCAGGTCGAAATACCGTTAGTCTTTTTTTTGCGCATACCGTGTCATAGCCTAAAACTGGAGTAAAATGGCTATAAGTCTGTAGCAGAGGCCTATTAACCCGAATCCTTTTAAGGTTATTCTAGTCTAGAGATTCCCTTTTCATCACATGACATGTTTTTTAATTAAATTTGTTTTTTTTTGACATATATTTTCTCTTGCACTCTGGGCCATACATTAAAAGATGCAGAATCATATGAAGAACATATTAGTCTATGAGAAATGTTGGCGAAACTGTTATCAAGAAATTTTCATTTCTTTTTTTTTCTCTTTGCTTCACCATTCAAGATGTGTAATTAAGCAGATCATAGGATTTTTAATATTATGTTGATAATAAAAATATTTGTGTGAAAAGAGAGTCAACAGTTCTCCATCCAATGAACCTATGATCAAGTCTTTGGTAGATCGAAAAACATTTTTACCGCTTATTTTTATTTTAAAATATTGTTTGTAAATATCTTCATTCAGTATAGAAGATCACATTCTCAAAATTCATATATCTTCTTGCCAATGATAATTAAAACAAAGCAAGTTTCTCAATCTTTTGACGAAAGTTATTTCAGTAGGGTAAACAAAATCATTTCCTTATCATACATTTTCCACATCTTAATTTAATATTCTACTTACGATCAAAATTCCATTATAACAAATATTGTAAACATTACAAAAAAAAAAAAATAATAATTATGTGATTTTACTAACTTTCAATTTTTGTTTTTTTTTGTACTAACAGCAAACAAAACAACGAACTGATCATACAATTGATTTATTACAAACAAATAAAGATAAAGATCGTCAGAATATACTTGTTTGTAATGATCTTGCACGAAAATATCGAACAAAAGTAAATGAACTTGAAATGAAACATCAACAATTAACTCAACTTCATACTGAATTTGAAAATAAATTTCATCAAAAAGAAGTTTGTGTTTTTTTTTTCAATAGTAAAAAAAAACTTCTGCATTCATATTTAGTTAGAAGAAAATCGAGCTAAAAAAGAATTAGGTGAAATAGCTATGGCACTTAATTTAGAAGCTCAAAAATCTAAAATTGAAATGAATGACTTTTTAAAGTAAGTTCAAAAAAAACCAAAAAAAAAATGTATGATTCAAAATAATACAAATTTATTTTCTAGTGTTATGAATCGTGATCGTACACAAACAATTAAACATGATCTTGAACAAAAACAACAATTCGAAGAACGACTTAAGTAAAATTTTACTCGATAGAAACAAATATTTTGATTTTGAAAAATATTTCTTATGTCCATATCTCATTTTTTTTTATCTTGCAAAAAAAAAACTGAAAAAAGAGTTTTTGCTAAATATCATATTTATTTTAGTCAAACAAGTATACATGTAAAAAATTATGATCTTGAACGACGTCGTCTTTCAGCTGATGTAACATTTCATCGTTCAATGCTTGATCTTAAACAACGTGAAGGTATTAAAAATTTTAAAAAATATTGGTTTTTATTTTTTGATTTCTTATAATAAAAAATCTATAGCTCTTCGTCGAATTGTTGATACAAAAAATCGATTAGAAACAATTTATACTAAACAACGAGAACTTAATCAAAATGCAGCTATTGCAGAACAAGATCGACGTGCAGCTGAATTAATGACTAAAATGAATGTACGTATTTGTGTTGCTTTTTTCTTTTTTTGTTTATGACAATAAAATAATATCAACGAAAAAATTTTTGGATTTTCTTTAGGATATTGAAAATCGTCGAACAAATTTAATGAATCAATATTTACGTGAAAAAACTGAAAAAAGTGAAGAACGTGAAACAGTTGGAGCAAATAAAGCAAAAGTTCGTCATGCTGAATTTGAAACACGACAACATGAAGATCATTTACGACATTTTCAAGTAAATAATATTATTATTATCAAACATCTTATTTTTTTTTTTAATAGAAAACTGTAAGTAAAAATGAAGAAGTTGAACATGAATTACGTAAATCAGTGAAAGAAACTGAATTTGAACGACGTAAAAAAGAACAAGAAGTACAACAATTAAAACAAGAATTAGATCGTAAAAAACGATTAGATTCTATTCATATTCGTGAAGAAATAGCTAAAGCTGAACGAGAAGAAAAAGATTTAGAACAGCAATTAACAAAAGAAAAATCTAAATTAGATAAAGTAATATTATTATTATTATTATTTATTTAATTGATATAGAATTTTTTTCTTTTTGTTTTTAGTTACATACACAATGTGAAGATAATTATTTACGTTTATTAAAACAACGAGAACAAATACGTGAAACAAAAACATTATTACAAATACATCAACGTGAACATGAACGTCTTTTACGTGTTCATGCTCGATCACAATCATTACAATCACTTAATAATATATAATTACCTTTATTTTATTTTATTTTATTTTTGTGTATATTCACCGGTGTTTTGTCACTAATAAAAAACAACAGTCCCGTGCCTCCTTTTTTCTTGTTTGTTCTCTCACTAATAAGATAAATAATTTATTTTCTTTTGATATTCAAGAAAAGAACAATATCAAGTTGTTTGCTCAAAAACAAAAAATCATTTGATTAATTATACGAAAGATTACAATTATTGATCTAGGTTATTTTTCTGATTAACAGAAATAGAAGTACTTTTGAAAAATTTTCTTAACATTTCTATAGATTGGTTTAACTATAGAATATTATTTAATTTTCATTGAATATTGCCTCAAGTACAAAGATAATAACTCTGTTCCTAACTACTACCCGGTCAGACAAAATTTTTCAAAAATGCGTTTAAACACTTAAAAACTCAATTAGTGAGCGTTTTTGGGCGTTTTTAAAAAACAGGTCATGTAAACATCAACTATTTTATTTTTAGGTAAATGAAAACTGTTAAAATATCTACAGCCGTTTTATGTATCCTCATAAACGATTGAAAAAGCTACACCCAATGCGTTTTAACGCTTATTTCGTTTGGGATGCGCGTTTTGCACAGAAATTCCATACATCCAGGCGTTTTTTATTAGCAATTTTATTTCAGTGTTCGGAACGTTGAATCATAGACGTTAAATTTTATATAAAATAATATTTTTTTTAGGGTGTTAATCTGCAATTTTTTTTTTCGTTTTTCTATATGTAGAAAGATAGCTTGATAACTCAAAAAAATTAAAGAATACTATGCCTATTCAACAACAAAATTTTCATTTCGATTAGTTCTGTATATTTATAGACGTTTGCACGCTTACAATATTATATCAGCATTATTTAAGTGCGCTTTCACGCGATAAACCAATAAATTCTTATAGATTAAACGCTGATGGAATACTGACGTGTTCAAAAGACCAAAATATTATGTGTTATCGATGTGAAGTAAGCACAACACGACGAATTACCACGACGAGAGAAAAAAAATTATTGGTCGAAAGAATGACCAATCAGAAAATAGAAAAACAAAAAAATTAGAATGGAGGCTCACAATTTGGAAATGGCGACCCTTAGCAACCGAAATTAGTGAGAAGCTAGCACGACGAAAAAAAGCAAAAAATGTTCAAAAAAAAGGCAAAATCTTCATGATACGACCCATTGCCCCGACATGAGTTGTACATCATCTTGTAGAGAATTTAATTCGGCATCGAATGATATGGTACTTCTCTCTCGGCGATGGGGCGGACACTCCAGAGAACGCTTTGCTACTTGGTCATTGTACTGACCATGAATTGTTTCATATTTTTCATGTAGTGAGACTCATGGCCGAGAGAGGCGACATGCTCTATATGATAGAGCATTCAATTCTGAATCGAATGATATCGTACTTCTCTCTTGGCAATCAGGTGGACACCCCATAGTATCATTAGCAAATTGGTCATTGTAGTGACCATGCATTATTGAGTATTTTTCATGCAGTGAGACTCATTGCCGAGAGAGAAGATATAGTCTATATATGATAGAACATTCAATTCACAATCGAATCATATGGTACTTCTCTCTCGGCGATGGGGTGGACACCCATTGTACCCTTTGGAAATCGCTCACGTTAGTGATCATGCATGATTTCATATTTTTCACGTAGTCAGACTTATTGCCGAGAGAGAAGACATGGTATATATGATAGACCATTCAATTCTGAATCGAATAATGTGGTAGTTGTCTCTGGGCAATGAGGTGGACACTCCAGAGTAGTATTAGCAAATTGGTCATTTTACTGACCATGCATTATTTCATATGTTGCATGTAGTGGGACTCATAGCCGAGAGAGAAGACATGGTCTATGTGATAGAACATTCAATTCTGAATCGAATTATATGGTGCTTCTCTCTCGGCAATGGGGTGGGCACCAACAGTACCATTAGCAAATTGGTCATTGTAGTGGCCATGCATTATTTCATATTTTTCATGCAGTGAAACTCATGGCCGAGAGAGAAGACATGGTCTATATGATAGACCATTCAATTCTGCATCGAATGATATGGTGGTTCTCTCTCGGCGATGGGGTGGACACTCCATAGAACTCTTTGGAAATTGGTCATTGAACTGACCATGCATTATTTCATACTTTTGATGTAGACAGGTTCATGACCGAGAGAGGCGACACACTCTATATGACAGAGCATTCAATTCTGAATCGAATGATATGGCAGTTTTCTCTCGGCCATGGGGTGGACACTCTAGATTACTCGTTCGAAGTCGGTCATTGTACTGACCATGCAATATTTCATATTTTTCATGTAGTGAGAATCATGGCCGAGAGAGGCGACACGGTCTATACGATAGAGCGTTCAATTCTGCATCGAATGATATGGTGCTTCTCTCTCGGCTATGGGGTGGACACCCCATAGTACCATTAGCAAATTGGTCATTGTAGTGACCATGCACTATTGCACATTTTTCATGTAGTGGAACTCATGACTGACAGACAAGACATGGTCTATATGATAGAGCACTCAATTCTGAATCGAATTATATGTTGCTTCACTCTCGGCGATGGGGTGGACATTCCAAAGTATTCTTCGGAAATTGGTCATTGTAGTGACCATGCATTATTTCATATTTGTCACGTAGTCAGACTCATGGCTGAGAGAGAAAACATGGTCTATACGATAGAGCATTCAATTCTGCATCGAATGATGTGATTCTTTTCTCTCGGCTATGAACTGGACACTTCAAAGCATACTTAGCAAATTACACATAGCAGTGACCATACATTATCGAATATTTTTCCTATCGCGGAACTCATGGCCGTGAGATAACACATGATGCATATGATAAAGCTTTTAATTTTGCATCAAATGATGTGGTCCTTTTCTCTCGGCTATGAACTGGATACTTCAAAGTGCCCTTAGCAACTTATACATAGCAGCGACCATATAATATCGAACGTTTTTTCTATCGCGAAACTCATGGCCGAGAGAGAACACATGGTGAATATGATAGAGCTTTTAATTTTGCGTCGAATGATGTGATCCTTTTCTCTCGGCTATGAACTGGACACTTCAAAGTGCCCTTAGCAACTTATACATAGCAGCGACCATATGATATCGAATATTTTTTCTATTGCGAAACTCATGGCCGAGAGAGAACGCATGATGCATATGATAAAGCTTTTAATTCTGCATCAAATGATGCGATCCTTTTCTCTCGGCTATGAACTGGACACTTCAAAGTATGCTCAGCAAATTACACATAGCAGTGACCATACATTATCGAAAATTTTTCCTGTTGCGGAACTCATAGCCGAGAGAGAAGAAATGGTGCATTTGATACAGCTTTTAATTCTGAGTGAAAGTATATTTTGGTTTTCTCCCGGCGAAGAAGTGAAGGTTAAAAAAAAAGAGTGACATTCGATGAAGAAAGAGGTGAACTTATAGCGGATTTTTTTTGGTGATTTTTTTCGGTTGTTCGGTACACACGGTTGATGTTTTAGTAGACAGTGCGAATTTTAAACACTTGGTAAGCTATGATGGTGTTTGATGGATGTGTTTTGTAAGGATGATTTCATGGTGACTAAGGATTATGTGTCGGTATTATCTGGAGTGTAGTAGGTATTTTGTGGTTTTTCTGTGATTGGTTCATTGAATGAAGAATATGATTGGTCGTCGTGGTAGCTTCACATCGATTTATGTGTTTTGGGGTGTGGGTGTGAGTAAATAGAAAAAGCCAATTCACAACCAAACTCACACCCACCCACCCCACCCATTCACACCCCACTAGATGTTACTGAATGGCGTATCCAGCAATCGGCAACAACCGTATACTAGATAATGCATGTACCGCCGAAAGGCAAGATCAAAACAGTCATTCTTTCTGCTCATTAACCAAAAGGAACATCCTCTGACAGCTGCTCAATAAATTAGAACTCACAAATCACATAACCGAACAGCGCATCACAGTTACACAAAAATCCAGACAGTCCAATAAAATGAACCTTCACAACATCCATACCAATCCTTCGTTATGGCCTAAAACATGATGCCAATATAACCGCAAAAAAAACGAAAAGTTCCACTGCGGCAACGTCTTTGCTCAACTCCATTTCACCGATTGAATCCCCGAATTCTATATCTCGTTAAAGGGTCAGGAGACGACCTACACATATACCCATCAATCGATAGAGCGTCCGCAAGAACCCTAGGATCGGCCCGAGCATGACTTGTACATGTCCTTATAATAAGAGAAGAAATTCTTCCTGAAATTTGATTGGACCTTTTGTATTGACCAATGAAAACCCGGAATTCGATTACTGCATGTAGGACTGGGAGGGGACTCATGCATGAGTCGATAGAGTTTCTCCAACAGCCATCGGATTGGCCGGAGTATGGCCACTGGATCCGACTATAGGACGGCTGAAAAGTCGTTGAAAGTCAGACAGTTTCATTTTGATTATGCTGTGGTGTCTTTGTCGGCCGTATGTTGCATAGCGAAATCTGGGCGTGAAATTTTTCGGGCATTTTTGATGTCGATGGTTAAGTGTACGGCCGTTTCTGGTCGTCGTGATGTTCGATCTGGGTAGTGGTATACGTTTGCATGGCCAGAAAAAGTTTCGTTTTCGGTGGAGTGAAAATAGCGCGCGTTAAATTTTTTTGCGTTTTCATGATGTACTTTGTTGGTCGTTTGTGGGTAGCAATCGGGAACCTCAAGTGGCATCCAAAAACGATCTTGAAAAGTATAGTGTTTAAACGCGTTTTGGAAAAATTTTGTCTGACTGGGTTGTGAGCCTAACGTCGTCACCAGTCGAAGAGTATAGCTTAATGGAAAACGACTCCATATACATTGTTTGATGACATCAATGAAACCGAAAACATTAACAACTGAGGTTAAATTGAGCAAACTAGGTACATTTGAATAAATTTTTATACGAACGATTTTTCCAAGTAAATAATTATCATCAGAGGTAAGTCTCAAAATTTTGTGTCTATCTATCCGAACCTCATCCCGTATTTTTTCAAGTAACTTATCAATCTTCTTGATTAATAACATCTTCTGGTGGTAACTGTAGGGCGATAACAGCATCGATTCCGAACTTTATTGAAGTAATCATATGAGTAACATTAAGTTCAGGATTCCATATGTCGATATTGTCCAGGACACATAACTCAGTTTCGAGATATTGTCTTTTACCAAGAACCCAAGAATAATATAAGAAGCGAGTATAATGATCTATACGATGAGGGTAATTAAGAACATTGTTTCGTTGACTTTTTCTCAAGTAATTTTGCCATATTCTTCAACTTATCCGATGAAGACCACTAAAAATATCATAGGTATAAATACGTTGACTTTCTGTAAATAAAAACTAATTTCTAAAAAGACCTGATGCAATGTAGCACGAGCTAAAGATATGAATCGAATAACATTATTTGAGGTCTCCGAGGTAAAAGGCTATCTTTAAATTTGTAGTAGTCTCGAATTTGAACACATTCAATCCCATCACATTTGAAAATGAGAAATTAATTATCCATCAAATATTAAAATCTCAAACGAGCATTTGTATGTGTGTGAAGCAGAATAAATAAAAATAACGGGATTTTACAATATTTCAGATTATTTGAAACCATAATTATATTAATATTTGAGAAAAAAAGAAAAATTTCATTTGTCCTATTATTCTTTTTAAAAATGTGATCGTGACAGTGTTTTTCATTCTCTATTTATAGACTTTAAACAAAATTATGAAATACAAAAGCTTCTAACTTCTGGACAGAGAAGTTGGCAATGTATTCTAACAATATATTACAGAGTCTGTCCAGAAGTTCTTATATCCAAATAAAAAATATCATCATTCCTTCATTTTCTGTATGTATTCATACCGATTATTTCTCAACACAATGTTGTGAAATTTGAAAACGTATCGTGTGGTCTCCAATGTAATGAATACAATATGACAGTTTTTTCCTTTCTTTTACTTCTTGTGCAAACAAGAAAACGAAAAAATGCAAAGCTTTAATTTTATAGTAATGTTTTTAATAGAACGAAAAAATTCTTATCGAATAAGGTATGAGTGTGGATGTAGGCATAGAGAGAAACAACATCAACGGGGCAACATATTTATTATTTTTGTTTTTCAAGACAGAACGCAGCAAATAGAATGCTGTCACTCACTTGGGTATTCAGAAGGGGAGCGAAAGACTCCTAACGATTCCAAACTAGCCTTGTGCCCAAAATTTTTGAGAAAAAAAATCAGATGCGATGAATAGTTATGATAAGAAAAGCAACAAGTCTTGTTATTCATCATTTCCTCGTCTAGAAACCAGAAAATTGATTTTTGAGGTGCAGATTGCTAGAAGCCTTTTCCGATAATCTGTTCAAAGGGATTTAAAACGTAGCTACCCTGAGGATGGGTGTGGGTGTGTGCATAAAGTGAACACTCACACTCACACCCACATCCACACCCACATCCACACCCACATCCACACCCACATCCACACCCACATCCACACTCATACCTACACCTTCACCCACATCCACACCTGCATCCACACTCACATACTCACACCCACACCCACATCCACATATACACCCAAGCCCACATCATCCGTCCACACCTATCTCGGTTTTATCTGTTAATTCAAACACGTTTACACGACACGTTATACCAAACTGGCCTCTCGATACCGGCGAGTATTTTAACTTATCGAAGCGTGTTTTTGTATCAGGCTTTGGTGGTCTCTTCAGAAACAACAGATTTGCATTCTCAATGTCAAGTCAATCGAAGTCTTATGGTAGTCTTAGTTAATATAGTTCACTTTTGCTCTAATTTTTTTACGAGTTCATTTTAGTTTCATTAGGCAAGAAATAATTATTGAGAGCATCACATATATGCCCGACCGAATTGTAATGCTTCCTCATAAGCTTGAATACTACGAGTGAGTTTGTTTCGAAGAGAGGCGTGTTTGTGTGGTTCACGCATGTATTGAATTAATTGCGATGATGGTATTGCAGTGCTTAAGAGTTGGTCCAACTTTAACGCACATTGTGTGATAAAATAATAATAACATGTTTGTGCAATGTTATCAGTCATACGTTTTTCTACGACCTAAGAGAGAAAAGACACTTCAAGAATCTTCTATGGAATCTTCTATTCAAAACACCATAAGAGATTTGCAAGAAATTATTGTGAACTTAGTGTATCCTTTGATCTTAGATATCTATCAAGAACCAAATAGAATATTTTACCTTTGAGTAAGCATGTAATGCAATTTGAATATCTTGTGCAGCTTGAGCTTCATTGGACATAGATGCATAAGCAACTGTGCCAGGAGATTTTTTAGCAATCGCAGTTGAGGCTGGGTTTGGACTTAAAGAAGCTGAAAGAGCATTTGTTCCGCCATGAGCATCATTTTTCTTTTTGTCCTTTTCTTTGAACTTGTTCAGTGTCCATATAGTAATGATTCAGTGTAAATACACGTTTTTCCATATCCAGTATTCCATTGACACGTTCCATTAAGACTTCTTGTACATCATCGAGTCTTTTGGTGATAATTTCTTTTAGACGTTCTTTCAGACGAGGATAATCGTTATTGAAAGCCTGTTCGAATAATTGTAGCAAACATTGGGACATGTACTCATGCATTTGCTTGACCAATGCATGACAGCAATGAGGCAATTTCTGTAATTCTTTTCGGAAGAGTCCTACAATAATTTGGTAACTGGGAAAATTTGGTAAAGAAACACCAGCTGTTCGATCAATTTCCCGAAGTATGATTTTATGGTATTTACTTGAAAAAAAATCCGGAAAACTTTGTCGACATTCATTTTGGAATTTACGTTGTAATTGATAAATACGATAAGCGATATGGTCTTCGTCGTTCTCCTCGGCTAACGACTCTTCTTCTTCACATTCATCGTCTTGTACATCCGAATCGATGTTATCGCTAGAAGCAGCATCCACATCTGTGCATGTGATAGGTAATTCGGTCACTTCCCTTGATGCAACCTGATCATACTCGCCTTTCACATTATCATGGATACTTTCCCGATAAGCATTGATCATCGATTGAAAATTTGTCCAACATTCAGCTTCAGTATTCACAGAAGGTGGAATCTTTTTCAGTTGAGCTTTATTCTTCGCTAGTTGGTTTTTTAATTTTTTAATGATATCTGGAAATGTAGAGCGAATACGCTCTTGTTGAATAGTCGCTAGACGTCGAACCAATTGTTCGCTGCCTTTAAATTCATCAGGTAAAGGTTCAAATGCTTCTTTATGAGTGATAAAAAATTGCTTTTCACGCTGTTTCATTTCACTGAATGAAATATTCCGATCGATTTCGTCTTGATTTCGATTCAGGACAGCGACACAGCCTAATTGCAGATCCATTGAACCAGATCCACGACCTTGTAATTTTTCTGAAATGCCCTTATCATATTTGTCAATTTTGGAGGCCGCAATGAGCTGTCGCTGACATGATGGATCAAATAATTTGGCAAGTTTCATTGATTCTGATGTGGTAAAGTCGACTGAAGCTGGAATGACGTGTAATACGATCTAAAGATGTCAGATAAATAGTCCACAAGGATACAAAATATATCATATAATATTGCGTTGCCTTTTAGACGTTCTCAGTGAATTACAAAACTAAAAAAACTTTCGTAAATTTCACAGTACTTAAATTTCTTCTTTGACTCGAAGTCAAGTTCGTTAGAGTTAGGGTCGGAATCGAATAATAGTTCTGAAAGCAAAACTCGAGACATGTTACCAATCGCTTCTTGATTCATTGTCTACAATGATGGCACACATTTGCCTGCATTTTCTATCGTTCATCTTTGCACTCACATCATGGCTGTTCCTGCAATTACTCATTGCGAAATGATTGGTCAGCATTAAATAGGAAGAGCAAAAATGAGGTTGATATCCTAACAGAAAAAAGTGATAGACTTACTGCAGTTGGTGGTTTAATGTATTTGTTAATTAAATCCAGAATTTGTTGATGAATATTTTCTGCTTGGCCAGGCAATGCATTCCGGGTAATACCCGGAAGATCAATCAGGGTCAAATCGTACAAAATATCTCGCTTGTACACTGTTAAATAGATCGGATTTGGACTCACATTTAATCCTGTACCGGTGATTTCTGATGTCAATCGAGTCACTTCATCAGCAATCTTTGTTAAATCATCGATATTCTTTTCTGTCACAGAACCAACACTACTACGTATTGTTGCATATTCCTCATCTTGAGCTGTTTTCATCCGTAATTCTAGTGGACAACGAGTGCAAATGTTCTGGGCCCGAGGTAATTGAATACCAGATATAGCTTCTAATACGGATGATTTACCCACAGATTGATCACCAACAACCACAATTTCCGGTAGATTCACTTTCTCGTCATGTAAGAGTTCGCGCATCTTGTCGATAGTTGACAAAAGGTTACGAGATTCAACACTATTCAATTGCTCACCTAGCATGATTCTTGGAATGGAATATTTTGAGATATTGTGTCAGTTCTTAAAAACTTATCATCACTCCTATTTATATATCAGAAGCACTGGGAAAAAAACCAAAGTAAAGTTGCTTTTTTATTCTATAATGATTAGTCATCAACTAAGCAAACAGCGAGCACTTTTCAATCCGACGGTTGCTCAGTGTGTGCATAGTTTCATTTCACTCTGTCTGAAGATAAAAAACCAATCTACGTCTTAGGGAACATTTGAATGGCTGCTTTTATAGCCAATACATCGCTTATATTCGAAACTCTCTTCATTTTCATCAAGGACTTCCATTGATAGTAATATCCACTTTATCGTATATACTTCGCTTATTTTCGTCAAGAAAACAAATTATTTCATCAGAATGAGATAATTAAATTCGAATTTAGATGAATTCTCCTAGAAAATTCTGTAGACTTCGTATCATATATTTGAAGTTGGACATACATAAACAGAA